GGTCAGTGGAGGAACGCTGGAGACACAGGGGGAGTCTGGTCCTGGTCACACCTGGGTGTTGACGTAGTGGAGGAGTGGACGACCGTCTCTGTCCAAGTCCTGGATCCAAATGATTGTTTTCCTCTGGAGTTCTCATCTTCTCTCCGTGTGTGTGTGCGGGTGTTTTTTCCATGAACCTCAGAAGAGAAAAAAAAAGAAAAAAGGAAAAACAACTCTTCATGCTTTGTCAAATGGTCAACAAAAACAGCCACCAGGGAAAAGTGTTGAAGTTTTTTTTTTTTTAACTCACTTCTAGAATTATCCTTTGTGCCTTTCAGTTAGTTGCTTCGTCCACCAGAGGGCGCAGCTGCACTTCAGAGTCCAGTTTCAGGCCTGCATTCTGAATACAAGACAAAAAAAATGCTGACTTTTTTTTTTTATTTATACAAAAGTAAACATTTTTGCCAGAGACTAATTCATGAAATCAACGCAAATAATAAACGATATTAAATTATAAAACCATTAAAACAGTTGGTGTTTGAAGACTTCTGTCAGTGTGGGTATGTACAGCTGAACATGAGGTGAATAAAATGACACGTGGGTTGATGAAAATGTAATATTTTTAAGTAATATTTTTGTTAAAAAAAGTTTAAAAAAATAAATATATGTATATAGTCAAGAGTTAACATTATATTTTGCTGATTCTGTGACAACGAAGAAATTATTCATCGTCACTGCCAACAATTTAATTGCAATGATTGTAATTAAATATACAGCCAGACATTTCAAAGACCAATGGTTCTTATTATCTGTTGTCATTTTTTATATTTGTGTCCAATGAAAACCCCCCAAAAAAGATTAAGATTAAGATTTTTTACGCTCGTTATTCGTAAAAATTCATTTCCGGTGCCAGTGTTTGTTAATCGTCACAACAGTCGGAGGAACAACAAGCTGCCTAATGTGAGGAGTGCAGATGGAAGGAGACGGCGCTCGACGCTGTGACTGTACAGAACAAAGCTCCATCATCACCATCAGAGATGCTGCTGCAGCACATTCTCCGTGTGGAGGATGGAGAGAGGCCGGTCATCCGTGGGAGCAGAAGAGTGCTTTCCCATTAGCAGCTGTTCCTCTTCTCTGCCCTCGTAACCTTCAGAAGGAGAGTGAGAGGTTCCCTGGCCGGGGTCTGGAGGGAGGCACAGGGAGGAGGAGGAGGATGGGG